GTCCTTTATCTGTATTTACTGAGTTTCTTTATCAAACCTTTACCATAGCTGTGGTTGCTATTCCCATTTTACAAATGAGGCATCAAAATTGCAGGGGTTACAACAACACTTTCCTAAGCCCACACAGTTTGGAAGTCATGGAGTTGGGAATTGACCCTAGGCAATCTGGCTCCAGAGCTTGCACTCTTAGCCACTATTATTTCCCCATGGCAGTTAATGAGAACTAATCTCTTGAAAAGACATATTTGCCATGACTTCTTTATGAGGTGTTCTCTGAGCCTCTGCAGTTGGTTTAAAAAGTTTTCAACTTTATCAAAGAAAGTTTTAAAATCTTAGTTTTCCTTTGTGAAACTGCTTTTTTGTAATTTAGTTTTTGTTCCCCATCCAGTAAATGAAAACTAAGGCATCTAATGCAATCACATGAGTAAAGAAAGTCATATTGAAGGAAAGAGATGTATTTTTACACAGCTAGTGGCAAAGCTGGGACTAGAACTCAAGACCATTCCCAATATTGGCTGCTCAAGAGTGCAATTGCAAGTGTGCATCTACATTTCTGCTGTGCCTTGCAGTTACTCACTTATTTGAAATATTTGATTGTGTGGTATGTTCCAGGGTCTTTATATTAGTAGGTTGGGGCACAGACATAAACGAGACAAGCCTCCTCCACCAAAGACATTCGGTCTAGTTGGACCTTATGTGAAGTAAACGCAAAGAGAACACTGCTGTGTGAGACATGAGAGAGGGCATAACCAACTTAAAGGGTGAGATGCACCATTCTTCACAGAAGCCATGCTTGAGCTGGATTTTGAAGAGTAACTAGAAGTTGGCCAATGTGGAAAATTTAAATATTCAGAAGGAGTCAGGAGCGTGGAGCACATTTGGATAACTGCAAGATCAGCAGGGGCTCAGAGGGCAGTGGCGGGAGGTGGGTATAAGGAGGTACAGATGCCGCCCCCACCACAGAGCTTCAAAGGTTACATAGAAGAGCAACACTGGATTGAATTTCAGAGACTTCATTTTGGTTTTCGCGAGAGCTATGAAGTCCAATTAGAGGCCATTTAAAATTTTAAGGGAGTTTTGTAATTCAGATCCAAAAATGGGCAGTGGCATGAGGAATGAAAAGGAAGTAAAAATAGATAATTAAAAATAATTTCCCAAGGTTCTCTTAAACTCCCCCCACTCAAAAAAAGGAAGACTTAAAGTGGTATGAAATTCTATTTCCTTTCAGCCTGTCAGTTGACCTGGTAATTCCTGTTAGTTATATCCTAATTCCCTGGGTTGAAAGGTCAGTATTCACTTTTATTGTTACTCTAATCTCTGACTTTAAGTGATTCCTAAGCCTATTTCTTCCAGGATCTCAGGATGGCTTGCAAAGTCCCTCATCTTCAGGCACAAACCTACTCTCCTGAGTCTTTGTCTGTTTCCCAGGCCCCACTACTCACCTTGGCCTAACTAACAATGGTTTATCATGTGTGCTCATCCTAGTTGCAAAGCGTTACCTGTTGATTTTTCTTAATAAAATCTTGCTCTTCTTTTAGGCTGACAAAATGCAAGACTCTTGACCTCCACTCCCCTTTCCTACTAAGTTCTTGCAGATAGTAAAGGCTCAAGAATTGGCTCTTAAACACAACTATCTATGTGTATCTCCAGTGTAATGCCTAACGACATTGATTGTTTTGGAATTCCTTGGTTACATGCATGGCCATTCCTTTCCAGGCAATAATAATTATTACTACGCATGGGACTTTGTAATTTCACAACATTTTACTATGATTCTTGATATAAAAGCTATTAATATTTTCACCTTCACTGTTCTCTTCCCACTACTTGCCAGTAACAAATGATTAGAGAAATTGAAAGTTTAAAGAACAGCTATTAATGTTTCAGGAATTATCATCTATATAGCCTGTCATCTCATAGACCTACAGTCTTTCCTGGGTATGGTATTTCTTAACTTGGAACCTCAAAAGAACTTGCAGTTCTGTGAAATGGATGCAGTATATTAGATGATCTTAAAAAGCTACAGTTTTGGTATTTAATAACTAAATTACTTAGGATGGGCACCTTACACCACTTTGTCCAATCTGCTTTTAAATCAAATGTGTTTTTCTTAATATGAGGAAAAATTACAACATAGAAATGTTCTGAAAGAAGTCTTTCATGTTCACTTGAAAAATAAAGTACCAACTCTGCATTTTGTTAACATTCATTTTATAAAATACTTTAAAAGAACAGATAAAGTACTTGAGGCTACATAACAACCAGAATTGAAAAAGAATGAATAAAATATAAATTAATTGAACACATAACTATTTTGCCACATTACACAAGTTTAAAAAAGGCATTTAAAAAAAACAATAAAATAGTAATTGGGGGGAAAAAAACCTTTACTCTATTGCTGTCCTTTTCTGGAATATTTCCCCAGAATCACCAAAATTCCAGGTCAATGGGCAGTACTTGTTATTTAAAGCATACTCTAATTTAAATCCAGAGAAATTGTGGAAAAGGTCAGTACATTTTCTGTTTCCAAATACGTTAGCTGAAAAGGGAAGTTAAAATTTTAATCAGGTTAGATAATTCAGTGCAAATTAAAGCTTCAAGTTGAAAATATGAAGGAAAAATAATGTCCAAACGATAGGAAATACTTCTGGAACAGAAAAATGAAAAATTCACATTATGAAGAAATCTTTGCAAGTGTTGTTGGTATATGAAATGCTGAATTAACAAATGGAGCCCATTAAAGTTGCAATTAGGGCTCTATCATGGATATTATTTGCAATGTGGACAAGGGGAAATGGACAGGGAAAAGCTGAAGGTCATATCTGTGAAAGTTCAAGTTAAGTATAAACTGCTCTGATTCAATGCTAGAAAATTTGGCTAGAATTTACTAAATATTAAGGGAAAACATGTTGGATATACATTTACTGGAATATCATTGAGGATAAGCCCTTCTACATCCAGAACATGTTTGGGTGGAGAGAAGAGGGTTCATATTGGTCATGATAGTTTTAATTTTATGAGTTATGTATGAAATACTATCTTAAAAAGTAATTGTATTAACAAATCTTGAGAAATGGAAGGAATGTTCAACTTTTTGGATCACAGTGAAATAAAGTCTGGATCATTTCCAAACATTAATAGGTAGTCACATTTGTAATGGAAAAATATTTTGGTTTAATTATTACTTCCTCAAAAAATTCTTTTTCAATTTGATGTCCTACGTAATAGGTAGCAATGGGTCTGACAGTGTTTGAAAGTTTCCCTCTTTCTATACTATTGTGTAAGAGTTTTGGATTCATTCTTTTTAATGAAAAAACTAATGGCTGCTATTGAGAATAAGATCCAGAGAAACTGTGGAAAAGGTCAGTACATTTTCTGTGCAAAAAACCCCATTTTTTCCCTCAAATTTCAGGCCCAAATTTACTGGATCATAATGAGTCTTTCCTCTTTTAAAATTCTCACTGGAAATTTTCACATATTATTTGCTAGCTAAATGAGAATGTACTATATCTTCTAATAGTCCTATTTTACATCAGTCTCTATTAAGAATGTTGTAACATTATCACAATTAAGCAGCAACTTTTTGGCTTTCAGACCGCACCTGTGATCAGCAAGTCAGCAAAAGGCCAAAATGTATGGTGCTTATCCCAATATGACATCTGAAACTGTTACATCAAGTGGAAACTCATGATGACACAACAGGGAGTTCAGAAAGCAATGGGAAATTAACCCATGGAATTTTTAAACATATAAAAAACGGCACTTAGATGTCTACTCCTAAGACGAACATCTACGGCAAATTAAATTCCCCTCCAGGAACATAACCAGCTCAGAATCACCTGAAGAAATTCACTTAAAAGCACAAACGATCCAAGACCTGTGACTCCTCAAGTATCAGCTCCTACCATGAAAGCCAGACTGTCACACAAGGGCATGTGTCACTTTGCAAAGGAATGCATTAATTTCCCTCCCAGAGTCAGCTCGGTTGGCTACAGAAGTCCTGTAGCACATTAATTTCCGTCACGTCTGTCAGATGTTTGTTCCTGTCCTTTTGAGTCCTGAAGACAGGCTCCCTGTCGGATGCATCCTTTATGTCACACTTGGTGTGAAGTTTAAAAAGGAGTGGTGGAAACACACGCACCAGGCTGCAGTTAGTCCGTAGTTAGAACACCTTTTGTGGGTTTGAGCATTTACAGAGATGGATTTATCTCAATTCTCCACTAACTTCCCATTAGGAATTTTAAAAAGCAAACTGCTAAAAAATTCTGAAGCTCTGGTGAAAACCTTCTAGGCTTTGTCTATCAGAGAAACATTTGCTATCAAAACTGCAGATATAGAAAAACAAAACATTATGTTGGAATCAGCTTGTGGAAATTTGTGCTTTAAAAACACAGTGCCTAACGGTGCCAAGCGCATCACAGATGCTCAATAAATACTCACAGATTAGAAGTAATAACATGGTTTCTGAAGAGCCATTTTGCAAAAAAAGGCAAAACTATATTAATTCCTTTCACCTGATTTGATGGAGCAATGCGGGGCAATGAGAGAATCTATAAATTAAATCTGAACACTGACTGGAGAGAGAAAATTACTAACAACTTTGCAAACAACATTGCCACAGTAGCATTGGTACTTAACAGTGCATCACAGATTTCACGTTTCTAAGGCAGTATGAACTGGTTTGCACAGCTTGTAGGAAACAGAGGGTGAACACTCAAATAGGAAATGAACTCTAATTCCAATTTACGTGTGTAATTTTACCTGAAAATTAGTAATGTGTTTTAGGGGGATGACCCACTTATTTAGCATGCCTCAAAGTACTGCAAGCATGAATATTAGGGGCAGTCTGGCTTGTGCAAGTGCACTTTTCACATCTGCAGTAGTTGCTTCCTAATACTTTAGATTTTCACAGAGTCACACACCCCTGGTAGGAGAGAGATGAGAATACGGAAAATTAAAAGTCACAAAACTTAAACTAAGAGGGACGCTCCTCTGTATTGTGTAAAAACCCCTTAGAAAAGGCAGTTTATTGACAAAGAAATACTTTATACATTCAGGATTTTCCCATCTCTCAAGAATGATGAAACCATGAAAAAACTCAGTAGTGAAAGAACACATGCTTTTTTTTTTTGCATCATTGGATATGTTGAAAATCGGAACCTTTAAAGCATCTTGTAAATGGGAGAAATGGAACTGGACCTGGGCAGGGGGCATGGATGGTAGAGATCAAAATGAGTAAGTGATGCAGCTTCTGATGTGGACAGCAAGAGAGTTGGTGGGAAATGTCACAGCAGACCTGACCACGCTACAGAGTCCAACAGGAACACAGTACAGATATTAAAAAAAAAAAACTAAACTAAAAACAAAAACAAACTGCAACTTTGCCAACTTGTAAACAAGGAAAAGCATTTCACAGATTCAAAGTTCAAGGGAAGTAAACGTCTTTAAATTATTTTTGTCAGTTCAACCCTGATTTAAAAGTATGGCTAGCAAACACAAGGAAGCCACAGCCGTCGACATCCTGAGCAAGCAGCGGTCTCCTCCTGAGAAGCTGCTTCTCCCAAGCCTCCCGTCTTGTGATGCCGCATGAGGAAGCGACACCTTCTCCATTGAATTCCACTCCTGGAATAAGTGTCGGTCTCTTCCCGTCTGGGCATTTACAGTTCTGGTTGCTATAGATTTAGACGTGGGGAAACAGGAGGAGGAGGGAAGGCAAATTCTCGGAGGATGCTCCGGGCCACTTCGACATTATTCTGGGCTATCTCTAAGGCTCTCTTCACCTCTTCAAAGGCATAACCCTCTCCCATGAGTTTTGCGATTTTTGCATCTACATTTTCCAACGCTGCCTCAGGCCCATGGGGTTTTCTATGGTGAATTTCGGGTGCAGTCCTCCGGGGTCGTGGTTTAGGGGGTCGGGCTGGGGCTTGTGAACCATCTGTGTAGATTTTGAGACAGAGATTATCACGTGAACAATGAGATATAAATGACATTATAACACAACGGTATTATCTCATTTTTTATTTTTTAATTTTTTTGTATTATCTTATTATTTTCTATTAAAATAGTCTTTCTCATCATCTTTACAAATCCACCTTCCCGCATTTTTCCTTTCATCGTGGAGCAGGTAGTATTATCCTCATTTTGAATACTAGAAAATTGAGACAGACTGTGTTGACTGTGTTGGGAATTCCACTGAGAAATTACATTTAATTCCCAATTCCACACTCTTATTCTTTAAGCCATCTAAAGTAAAAAAATACACAGAAAGACAAATACCAAAACAACTATCTAAAAAAGGAAGGCGCTGACTTTGCTTAGCAGCACAGTTCCTCCTCTGCTACACACAGGCTCTGCCTGAGCGCTCTCCACAGGAACGATCCTGGCAGGTTCCTACCAGAGCAAAGTATCTTTACAAGCTCGTAGATGCTTCTGTCCCACCCATGTCACAGAACTATGCTAAAAAAGGATATGCCATTTCATCATCTGTACCTTACTGGTGCTGGCAGGAAAATAAAAAAGAAAACGGTGGATATTTTGACTCTACTGTTAGTTAACAGGTTGAATAGAAGCAAACTGGATACTCTGCTCAACACTTTATCCAGATGCAAATGTAGGAGATTTGGCTTGATACTAAGCAAACCTTACAAGAAACATGAGGAGTGAAGAATTGGTTTCTTTCTTAGTCTTCTAATGATAACAATTCATCAAATTTAAAACAAGAACATTGGTGCCTGTGAACGCACAGTAGTGTTAAGAGACTAGAAAATTAATTATAAGCCATCATCTCACATGGGTGTCCAGGGCATGCACTGGCTAACTTGACAGGGTACTTTCTTCATGGATTTCCACATATCTACCTCTCTGCCTCTCTCTCTCATTCTCATTCTTCAAATCTACTTTTGTATATCTATTTCTATTGTATATCTATTTCTAGAGGTATTACTTATCTTTCCTTAAGAAATATGAGACGTAATGTAACGTGTGCACGGGTAATGTAATGCCTGTATGCACCGAGGAGACAATGAGAAAGAAAGGACAATAATGACCTCTGTAATGATAACTGCTATACTCAAACACCACGGAACAGCAATTACCATAAATTAACATGAACACCAGAGAAGCAAGAGAGAGGGAAACACAAAATGTGTTGGGAGGCCCTGATCCTGCATAAGCATTTACTCAAAATATTAAAAAGCAAGATCTGCTACAGCCTGAACAGTAGACACTGTTAAAAAGGGGGAGGAGTAAGTCCTATCCACGCTGACCATGACAAAACAAATGCTTATAACCGAGTCCTCTTTCTTTCCATTTTTCCCCAAAGCTCAGGGGCTTCAATTCCTTCACTTGTTCTTTTCACATCTAAAAATAGGACGCACCAGGTTTTCCTTTTCATTCCCTTTTTTGCACGTTAGAAAGTGCAGGGCACTGGAAGGAAGCACCGACACTGAGGGTGGACCCAGCCTTTATAGTTTGGGCACTGGGGTGACCACAGACTTTATCAACCTGGTAGGAATTTTTGTACCTAGTAAACATCTTCCTTAAAGACAGTTATTTTGGGCTTGGCCCCTGTGGCTCAAGCAGCTAAGGCATCAGCCACATACACCTGAGCTGGTGGGTTCGAATCCAGCCTAGCCTGCCAAACAACAGTGATGGCTGCAACCAAAAAATAGCCGGGCGTTGTGGTGGGCGCCTATAGTCCCAGCTACTTGGGAGGTGGTGGCAGGAGACTCGCTTGAGCCCAGGAGTTGGAGGTTGCTCCAACTGTGAGAAAAAGAAAGAAAGACAGTTATTTTGGAAGAAGACATGTTTATTCTAGTGCTGCTGTCCATACTCATGGTATTTTGTTTTTTTTTTCTACAGTTTTTGGCTAGGGCTGGGTTTGAACCCGCCACCTCTGGTATATGGAGCCAGCACCTCAATCCTTTGAGCAACAGGCACTGCCCCATACTCATGATATTTTTGAATATTTATGAGCAACTGCAACAGTTATCAAAATAAGTGTAAGAACATGTGAGACTATAGGTTAAGGTCATGCATATACCCAGGTACCAATTTTACTCAAGGACGTGAGGACATTGATATTTTTACTACACTTGATTTTAGCCAAAAGGCCAAGAAGCAATGACATTAGTATTTTTAAATATTGAAATGAATACAGATATACAAAGGAGTGAAGTGTAAAGTTTACAGGAAATTTTGAGATAGAACAGATCTTAAATCAATTTCTGGCATGTGGACTAGCTAACCCACCAGTCCTAGTGTGGTTTAGGATTAACCTTCTTCAGGAAGAGAGATTTGAGAAGTAAATTTCTGGAGTAACTCTTGATTTAATTTTCATGTTCTAAGCATATAAAAGAATAGCAAATCCTGGATGGCACAAGAGTTCGTCGGATAAAACTTTGGTTAGAATAGTCCCTAGAGTGACTACTTTATGATAGACACTCTAGACAAGGCCAATAGTGCATTCTGGGAGGGGGGAGAGGACTGATTATTGTGTGATGAAAAATAATCATCTTAGATGCTGTTAATACAATGGTTTGTGGCCCTCCCATGAGAAATAGTACACAGAGATATAAAACATATCTGTAGTATTAAACTTTCATTGCTACAGAGAACAGGAAGCAAACAAGAAAAAAACAAATGTTCAAAAAGGCCCTTTAGCAGACTATTATGAAAAAAAAGAAAACTGAGACAGGCTGCTGTGTGTCTACATAATCTACATCTACAGGAGCTGATGGTTTAGAAATACAACCAACTTCTCTCATATTACTTCCCTCAGCATGAAGGAAGTTCGGGGGAGAGGTCGTCTTTATTTTGGAAGGACAAATGCTATCATATTGATGAATACCTTTCTCCATTTTCTATTTGTTATATTAAGTTATGTTAGCAACAATTATCATACCAATCTTGCACATAAAGTTTCTTTTAGATTTTAAATACTAAAATAGTGTTTGACAGCAAGCACATAAATATGAAAGACTATCATATAATACTTTGAAATGACATTATTAAGGTACTTATTATACTATGTTAAACACCACTGAGACAGAATTGACATATATGATACGACCTTGACCATGTGAAGATGTGTACAGACAAAACATTAGAAGGAAGTATGAAAAATGGCAACAATGTTCCTTATTGAGGATAGGGTTCTAAATGATTTCTTTTTCAGGCTAACTCTGTAGTTCCATTATATTTTCCAGTGTACACGTACTAATTTCATAATTAGAAAAGTTGTCATCACCACTACCAACATATAGCCTCCCAGATCCCCTCTGCTGGTTTTATAGACCTACGCTGCTCAAGAATACAAGATGCAGAGCCAGAGTTTGGTTTTGCTAATGTGAAAAGTATGTGAAGCATGCGGTGAGTGGATTGCCCAGTGTCACAGAAAAAATGGTAAGAATTCCAGTTTTGAAATCCAGTACAATCTTACTATTTCTATTACCTCCACTCCTTTGCCATTATGACTATTCCTTCACCATTATCTTGATTTTATCATCAAGCATCTCCAAACACAGTTTAGCAATCATCGCAATAGGCACGTGTGATTTTTTTGTAACTGAATTTTGGCTTGGCTACTGAGGATATAATAATATAAACTTTATTAACAAATAAAAAAAATGTGTGCATAGCTTACTGAGAAGAACTGATTCAAATCCTATCAGATTGACCTTTACTAGGTGTGTCACCTTGGGTAAATAGCTAAATTGCTAATGTCTTACTTTCTTCTATAAATTAACATTAATAATAACTATTTCAGAGTGGCTACAAGGAATAAAATTGTATCTCTACCTGTATTACATAGTAAGAAAACATTGTTTTATATTATACATATATTACATAACTATATAGTTATAAACATTCAATATATAGATATCACTAGAAATATACAACATAAAATATACATTACATAAGATATAAATGTTTTGTGCATGTAACTATTAAATATAATATGTAATATGTTGCATATTATATTACCTATTTATAAAAAAACACATATATCAACATCTACATATAAAATAGCACAAAATCTGGCCTATGTTAAGTATTAAACAATATAAAAAATTGTAATTATATAAAAAAAATAATATTGTTCATAAATTTTGTGAGAAAAAATGTCTAATGTTGTCTACTAAATTAGTGGTAATTCTTGGGGTATATATCAAACTCTTAAGACTACTGATTTTCTCCAGTATAACGTTAACTGAGTATTAGAAGAAAAATATGAATTTAACTCATAAAAGAATAACAGAAATTTCAAACATGTTATCATTGTAACTGTTATTCTACTATAAACTGGATCAATTAATCCTGGAATTTACTTATGCCATATGATTGAATTATTGCTACAATAAAAATATTACCTACTTACAGAAGGACATGATTTAATAGGCTAAATTACAAATAAGTAAACAATCTTTACACATACCGTGTTTTTAAATACATCCATAAACAGGCTTTTAAAAAACTTCCGTATTAAAGGAAAAAAGATTCTAGTTTTTGTGGCTTTAAAATGGAAGGTTTATGTAAGCACCACTTCAGGTAGTTGAAGTATAGTAAAACTCAACAACACTGCAATTTCCTTTGTTGAAACACAAAACAAAAATCTTAAAAATACATAATTTGCAATAGAATTCCAAACATGTGTAAAGCAAAGCCATGATTTCCAATTGAGATCTGAATGAGGATTACTATAGAACAACTGATCCTAATATAGACTCCATTCAGCATTCCACTGATTTTCCTCAGTTAGTAAAGGCAAAGTAGTACAGGCATGAACCCCTTTTATAAGGAGATCTCCTTTATTTTGCCAGCATATGTGGCAACAATGTCTTTCACTAGCTATAACCACATTTAACAGAAGTTGTTCTAAGATTTTCGCATTGTTTTCAAGTGTTACCTTCAAATGCCTTCTGAACACTAAGAATATGGAAAGTCTTAAGAGCTAATCTTCACTCATCGGCACAACCATTAAAGAGTCTTCAAGAATGGCATTTCAACTATAGTTCAATATTTCTTACAAAGAAAAAGAAACATGCAAAACATGTAAAAACTCACACATAGCTAGCAGAGACATGAGCTCCATGCGAATAATATACCCGTGCAAATAAGAAGCAGATTAGTAAAAATGTTTGCCCCATAGACAGGTGTACGTGAATTTAATGCAGGCTAATAAAATCCTCTCGTTTCTGACTACACATTTTTCTGACATAGTCATATGATTAAGTATCACTTGTTACATTTAAAAAACCTTATGAAAATTATAAAATATTTTCTTTGGGAGGAATCAAATGTTTGGAAGGCTCTTTGCATTACCAACGTACGCGTACATGCAGAAGCCCTTTTCAGATAAGAGGACCAGGAAGATATTTTCAAATCAGTGAAACTGTATTTTTGAATTCTTTAGAAATGCTCTCGTCCCAGAAAGCTTCTCCATAAATATGTCACTATCAATTATTTACAGCCATAAAGGATAATAAAAATTGAATTTATAAAATGAAGCAATCATACCAGAATCCTCATGCAGTCATCTTTAAAAGGCTTTAATAAAAGCAGATTTGTTACTGCAAAATGAGTGCTCTTGGAATCTCAAAGGTACACAAGCATCCTGTCTCCAGTTTTGATGGAAAGACCCTAATACACAAGCCAAGTCCACTGTTTGCTGGTATGAAATAAACCAGCGGACAGCCTGACAACGCTGGGAGCTGCGTGTGAGCCAACATCCATTCAAAGAAAGGACCTTATCTTCTGTGGTTTGTGTTTTTAAAGAGAGTTCGGGGAGTAGGTTGAAATATTTGATGTTACAGCTAGCTGAACCCTCAGAGTAATAATCTGGACTATTTTATCACCAAGGTAAAAGCCAGTTCAGGTGTCCAATAAATGGCTATTTGGGGATATTTCAGCAAGGTTGTGACTCTAAGCTCTTCCTGACATTTCTAGTGGAATGCTAATCAGAATTCGTATCAGTTGAAATCATGTATGTGAAGGATGTTCCTCTAAGACCCTGCAACACCCACATAATATGAAGCAAACTGGAAGGAAGCTGTGACAACTGTGTGTTTTGGCCAAAATTCTTCCCATAACTTTAGTATGTTTCTTTCTTTTTTTTTTTTTTTTTGAGACAGAGCCTCAAGCTGTCCCCCTGGGTAGAGTGCCATGGCATTACAGCTCACAGCAATCTCCAACTCCTGGGCTCAAGCGAGTCTCCTGCCTCTGCCCCCCAAGTAGCTGGGACCACAGGCGCCCGCCACAACGCCCGGCTATTTTTTGGTTGCAGCCATCATTGTTGTTTTGGCAGGTCCGGGCTGGGGATTCGAACCCGCCACCTTAGGTGTACGTGGCTGGCGCCCTAGCCGGTTGAGCTATAGGCACCGAGCCAGTATGTTTCTTTCAATCCAGAGTTGGTAGTACTGGCTATGTTATTTTAAATCATCATGTACTTTTTCCAAAGTTCTATTTTAACATTAAGTAATTTGCTTCCTTATGTTATAGAGGTTGTCAAGATATTGTCTCTCTTGATTTTCATGTTTTGTCACCAAATTCTCTGACTGTAACTACAGGATGTATCTAAAACCTTACAATGACCAGAAGCAAACTAGAAAAAGAACACGGACCAAAATTTGAAAAGGTTAAGAGTTTCTAAACTGTGCTTCCCTTAGTTCTATGTAAATGTTAAAACTCACAAAACCACAGACTTATATAACTTCCATATTTCCCGTATTTAAACTACCATGTTGATAATTCTCAAAACACCCCTTAATTATCTTCAAAAGTTATAGAATGTACAGCTATTATTATTAATAAGTCTTATGTGCACTGAGGCTTGAGATTAAAAGCAACAAATAAAAATCTTGAAATAACACAAAAATCCACATAGAAAAAGCTTTTGTTTATAAATGAGACAAAACTATTGCTCATGATACATGTACATTCAGTTAAACAGAGATACCAGCTACTCTTCCTTCCCTCCTGTCACCCACGTCTCTATTCATATCCTCATTTATCCAGGCATTCATCTCTCACCTTTCTATGCATCTAAAGACCATGTGCTGGGCACCCTCCTGGATACAGCAGTGCTATGGACTAAATGTTCCTGCCTGCCCGTAATTCATGTGTTAAAACCAAGTCCCCATTGTAATGGGATTTGCAGGTGAGGCCTCTGAGAGGTGGTTAGGTGTGAAGTCCCCATGAAAGGGATTAGCGCCTTATAGAAGAGATCCCAGAGCACCCCCTTGCCAGTGTGAGGACACAGTGTGAAGACGGCCATCTATGTGCCCGCACCAGACACTGAACGCTGGCCCCTTGCACTTGGACTTCTTAGCCTCCAGCTGTGAGAAATAAATGTTTGTTTTTAGTCCATCCTGTCTATCGCATTCTGTGTAGCAGCCTAAATTGACAAAGATAAGCCATGAACCAACACTCATCTTCAAAGTGTAAATACTCTACCAAAGGAAACAGACTGATAAGCAACCATCCAGAAAACAGATTAGTAATATATTTTGGGTAATGACAGGTGCTATGAAGAAAAATAAAGCAAGAGGATAGGAAGTGACTGGAGAAGATGGGGCCTACTTTGAACAGTGGCCAGGGAAGGCCTCTTGAAAATCCAAGGAGAGCAGAGGCATCCTGTCCTTTTCAATGGCCATGAATATGATTGTGCTTACTAAACTGGTCATCCTTCTACCTGATGGCTGGCAGTGGGGCCCTGCACAGAAGCCCTGAATAAGCTAAGAAAATCACTACTTTGATGTAAGTATTAACCCTAATGAGATTTCTACCTTAAGGGAGAAGAGAAAATAGCATTTCAATGTACAAAGAGATATTCCCCATTTCTTGAACTTGACAAGGCAAAACGAAAGTTAAAGAATGAATGAATTTTGCATCAAAAAATGTGGCTTTACTAATTGATCAAAGATAATATTGATTTTTTTTCTTTCTTCAGGAGCCAGTATTGTAGGCCTTTGTGTCCGAATATAACATTTATAAGCAAAATGCAAAGATGATAAAAATAACACGAGCAGGTAGTGTTCACTGAATTACACAACGCATCAGAAGGGGGTCTGACAGGTAAAAAGCTTTGTACGACCACAGGGTGTTAGTGTAACTATTATCAGCCAGCTCACCTGAAGATGACGGAAGCTGATCATAGTCCTGGGATGTTCTGTTGGGTTTCACATTTTCACCCGGTAATCTCCTAGCAGGAGGCAAAGGAACTTGGACACTTGCTGGATCAAAGAAGGGATCTTAAAAACAAAAAGGATTTTCGAATTAAAGGATGAACTATATCTCAGACTTTGAACTTTACTTTAAAAATACAAATAATGTACCCTCATACGAACCTAAAATATAAAGGGGGGAAAAAAAGGGATGATGTGGACTGGCTGAAGAAAATAATTCTACAATTGTTTAATAAAGGTTATAGCTTTAAAAAATAAGAAAACTAAATCCAGGATTAATAGTAACTATTTTCTAATCAGTGTATTTTCTAATTGATAAATTATTTGCTCAAATATGCTCTTCTCATTTATTTTTAGGTAAGAATAACTATTGACTTTTTGTTTATATTTTTGAGATCATTTATTTAGTAAGATTGGTGATGGTAAAAATAGCTTCTAGATTTTATTTTCTGTCCCGATCCATCCTGTACAATGAATAGAAACTGTTCTAAAGTAAAAGCAAAGAAAAGGGCAGGACAGATTTTATCCATAAGAATATTATTACATCACTTAATTTCTCTAAGTATTAGACAGACGAAATCTGTAAGACAGATCTGAAATCTGGTATCTGTGAAGATCAAATGAGTTGTGTATGTTCTATCTTCTGTACATGCTAGGTGCCTATATTAAGAGCACTATATTCAGCATTCTATGATAAAAATAATTATTATTACCTGGCTCTCTAAACAGTAAATTCAATTGTTAAAAAATTATGCCATTACTAACATTAAGCTTTAAATATACAAGAAAATATGATTTTTTTTGTTACTAGTCAGAGAGGGGGCATTTAAATATAAATTGCTGAAAAATTAAAAATTATTTTACTACTTCTAACTGGATCTAAAGAGAAAAAGACTTTTATCAGTATGTATTATACTTAATCACTATGACTATAAATAAACTCAAGTGATGTAAAATTAGTGGCATATGGGTTGAAATTCTTAATAATTGATTCCTTCTCTAAGTAGATGAACCTTACTTCTAAATCTCTGGTTCACTAATAACTTACACAGCTATCACTTTCACCTCACACTCATGTTTTCCTCTCCTATTACCTTCTCTTACTTCTGAAGGTACCATCAACTCTTCTGAGGGCAGAGATCTTGTCTTATTCATTATGTTTTAGTTACATCTCTTAATTCAAATACAGCACCTAATACGCTGCTTGGAAAACAGCCTATACTTGACAAATATTTACTTATAACTACCAAAAATAAATCCACACAGATTCAAATTGTTCATAAGTTCAAAGTCAGTGACTCTTGAGTTGCTAACACAATGTAAAAATTGTACATATTAAAGGTGATCTGATTTTATTTCATTGTTTGAACTTCCATTTGAGTTTGACATCAACAATATACACGAGTTTAATTATTTAAGAAGAAAATACATGTTTAAATATTGCAGATTTTTATTTTTGACAAGATTTTGGTAAGACAGAATTCAAAACCTTTTATTCTTTACTTTTCCCCATATATGGGGTACGAGAACTATTTGCTGGGACTTCTTGACTAAGGCAAGGCTATTTAACTTGCTTTCATTGATTTCAAGATTAAAATAACTTATAGATTTTTGAGCTCGCAATGTTTGAAGACTGAATGGTACAGACTCATTAATATTGCTGAAATATTTTATTTATTTATTTTTGTTGTTGCCAAAATATTTTCAAGAAGGAATGAGAAGATAAATCATATTCCATGCATCAAATGTTGACCTTTTGGTTTGTTAGAGAAACCTAAGCAATCAATATGGCAACTTCCAAATTTTGAAATTTCCCAGAGATTTTGATTTCACTCTAGTCGATAAAACTTACTTCAGGTTTCTGTGTACTCCAAATGCTCCCAACATAACATTCAGTGAAAGGAAAGATTTTCTTTTACAATGTATACACTTGGTTATTTCTTGGGGAGTAATTTATAGGTCTGTCAGAAACACACTATTTCTAATTATCCATTTATTTAATTAAAGTCAAAAAGTAAATTCTGAATATATTTCAAAACTATAAATAGATGGATACAATGTCCCACTGGTACTATACTGCTACATTAGAGCATTGCACTCAGAGAGTCACTAGATATATCAATATATTATCATACATAGCAAAAATCCTACTTATAGTTCTATTTTGAATCACTATCCTGTGCCATCTTGTTTCATGCTAATTTTTCTGTTGGTCAGGGATAAGAACTGGACTTTCTGTAGCAAGTCATATGGTTGAAGGTATTCATGCTTCAAAGGGGAGGACATGTACACAGCACAATTACTATGCAGAATGCAATAATTACTAACCATCTCCTGATAAGAAAATTTTGAAAAGCAATTAAGCTTTTCTAAAATAAAAAAAAGTGCCTAATGAAAGCAAAATTTTATATGCACACTTAGAATTAAAACATATGGATTGAAATGAGCCAATATATCATTTATACAGTAATAAATGTTTGAGAAATAAAATATACACACTGGGATTAATCCAGTCTAAAAAGTAAAGTACTACCTCCTCTAATTTACAGCATGGTAATGTAAAATTGAAAATTTAATACTTATTTTAGAGGTTATAAAAAATCTCTAAAGGTTATCCTTTATGAAAGGATAGACTGGGAGGAAAGGTTTGCTAACCAGAAAAGAATTAATAGGTACATCAATCAAAATAATGCTACGTTAAGAATATTTAACAGCATGAATAATGCTCAGACACATTAAGTGAGAAAGGTTATAAACAGCATATATGTGAAGTAAATTTTACATAAATATGAATTTACATATTTATAGACAAAAAAGAAAGGACACTTATCAATGGGTATCTTTTGGAGACAGTGGTATAGAATATTTCTTCTTTTTTCCCACTATCTGAAATACTCCTAATTTTTTTCCCAAGTGTAGAAAAAGACAAATGAAATTAAACAATTTAAAAAATGGCCCCTTCCCTCTGAGAGCATCCATAAACCACCTTGGAAATTTATCATGTATCTTCTGAAATTTAAAACAGAACATCAATGCAGAATCTAATTGCTGGCAGGGGCCTGAAGTACCATGTAGGGGAAAGAAAGTTCTTCCCTATTTGCTGTTTACACCCTTTACTTAAGTTCACAAAATCATAAAGATATAGTGATCTGGTCACTGATTAAAATCTTACAATGTTGAAGAAGCCTCTATTCCTTGAGGTAGAATAAGTATTAATAATTTAAGAAACTTGATAGTAGGATGAATGAAACTGTCACTTTCAATTTTTCTTACAGGTCTTTCTTCTACCTTTGAAATGACTTGGAAGAAACAGAATCCTTCTTTCACAAATGCTGTAACTGAAGGCAGCGCTAATGTACGTTCAAGGTCTCCTGTCCGGGCTACACATCCTCAGTCTGTTTAATGCACTGCAGTAGACTTGGGGTGCTCCGAATTTCCTTCTCAATCCTGGTTGCACTTCCTTGGGAAGTGAGCCCTGAGCCCAGTGCTTCTCAAACTTGAGCGCGCATCAAAATCACCAAGAAGGCTTGTGGTCACTGGGTGCTACTTCCAGAGTTTTGGATTTAGTAAATTCTGAATTTTCATTTGAAAGCAAATCCCCAGGAGTTGCTGATCCTGCTAATCTGGAGACTATGGTTTGCTCTAGCCCTTTAATCCTTCAACACCTGCACACAGTGGTCTTCGTGAAGGCTGAACACTCTGGAGGACTTCACTCCTTGTCTGTTTTGAATTCCGTGTGTGCCAGCCCCAACCAGCATGAGCTCCCTTGGTAACCATACCACCACAAAGTGTTTCATAAAGGTTGTAGTCAACCAAACCCCTAAAACCTTTTCAGTAACTGGCTAATGATGCACACACTTCCTTCATATTTTACTTATGCAATTACATTTCTGAATCCAAGGGTAAAACTTCCATTCATCTTTAATAAAGTTAATTTTGCTACCTTTCAGAGTTGAATTGTGACTTTAAGATTGGATAAGCACCTTAAAAGAGATTCCAGGGTAGAAAAACAGTGAGGAAAAGGTGATGTGAGGGCTGCCAAAAATGCTGTGAATTTTGTGCACTGCACAAAGACACTCAGTTATGACCATGAGCAGGACTTAAACACAGCCTTGGCTTTGTTCCTCCAGCACTAGTCCTGGCACGAAGTGAAGGCAGGGGTGCCTATTTCAAGCTGCTAGAACAAAGGATGTGCTTTTTTCTAACTTGGGGGAATAAAAAGCACATATACGTTAGCAGTAGCCTTGCACTTGGAGACAGGAAAGTATAAAGCTTTTGTTGAAGACACCAGGTTTGGTTCAGATATGATTGGCCTGTTCAAAATAGATGGCTCATGTACAGCAGTAGACAGGACTATTCTGCCAAAAGAAATCTTGCATGAAGCCTAAAATAGAAAGCAGATAAAAAGAAGAACCAGAGCTGTGCCCTTGCTTGGCTCACTCCCTTGATCCGACAGGCTGCTCTGCAGAAGCACAGAACACTGCCGTGTGACTATCGCTGCCACAGAGAAGGCAGGGAGCTACCAGGCTGCAAAGCTGAGAACGACTCAACTGTGCGGGACACTGATGCTGGAACAGAGAAATAGATTTCATCAGGGATTTGATCCAAGAGGAGAGGCTATAGCCTCTTCTTCTAACACACCTATTATTTGTCTTTCATTATGTGTGATTATTTCCTCAAGGAAACCAAATCTCCATCATGTTTAGAAAAGATTTATCATTGCACTGGACCAAGATTTCACAGACTGAAGAGTGAAAAAGAAGCAGTGAAATGCTCCCAAAGTTTGTTGAAACTTAGCAGTCTCATCTGTTTACCTTTTATGGCTCTAAAAGTACAAATTAATCTTTAGCATTTATAGCACATCCTTTCATAGAGTTCTAAGGATGAAGAACTGCGGTCACACATCTTCTAGTACATTTCTCTCCAGGGTGAAAAGTATTACACACTTTGCAAAATGATATTCAAATGCAAAGAAACTCTTAGGCTGTATAGTATTACTGTGATGTGATAACACATACTCCAGGTTAAGGATAACTGTTGTTGAGCTCCCTGGCAGCCAAGCAAAAGCAAAACCAAGCCAACCTATAAATGAAATAAACACAACTCTTTACACAACTCTCATCATACCTAATAAAAGGGAGAATTTCCATTTTGAAGTAATAATTTCTTTTGCCAGTTAATCTTGAGAGGTCTTTTGTAGAAAGATTTTTACACAAAGGACAATGAATAATATACTTATGATAAAGAACTAAAAGATTTCATAATAAATTCTATTAAAAAAAACAGGCAAAAGTATGTATTTGTGTAAAGTGTTTTCTTCTAGCTCTTGGAAAATTTGACATTGTTTTCTAAGAACTTACAACACTGAGGTTTAATCTACTGGGGCATATATATATATGGAGGCCATAGGTACATTGCAGAAATCTGGCAAGAAACTACACATAAGTTAAAATAACTAAGATTTAGAATGATTCATTTTTTAAAAATTCATGTTAACTGTAATTCATGTATAAAACAAAGAATTAAGCAAATGTAAACGAAAAAAAGTAGCAAAACTCAATTGTGTTTATAATGTAGCTACACTGCTAAAGCTAAGCAGTTAGCCGTACTTCTGCTTGGGTCATGCGGGGTTATAACACGTGCCCCTGGAGTTGTAAGCATTTAGTGAATTCATGAGCGCCACTAAGGCAGGAGGGAACTAACAGAGGGAAACAGTGGATGGCTCCATCAATATTTACTGATTTAAAAAGTAAACTAGAAATTACTCTTAAAAAATAAACCACTTTCAGAAAGTAAATCTGCATATTCCAAGTTATACGTCCATAACTGACTCTTATTAAATCTCCTCAAACTTTCAGAATTTTCAAATAGAGCAAAAACAAAAACAAACTGATGGGCACTCAAGGTGACTCACCATCAACTGAGGGACATGATAATGTGAAGATTTCTACGCGTTCACTGAGACATACAGGTGGCCAAATGACCGCGCACTTTTTTTTTTTTTTTTAGATGGAGCCTCAAGCTATCCTCCTGGGTAGAGTGCCATGGCATCACAGTTCACAGCAACCTCCAACTCCTGGGCTCAAGCGAGTCTCCTGCCTCAGCCTCCCAAGTAGCTGGGACCACAGGCGCCCACCACAATGCCCGGCATTTTTTGGTTGCAGCCATCATTGTTGTTTGGTGTGCCCGGGCTGGGTATTCGAACCCGCCACCTTAGGTGTATGTGGCTGGCGCCTTAGCTGCTTGAGCCACAGGTGCCGAGCCGTGACTGCACACTTTTTAAGGTTTTTCTCAATTTATCTCATATAGAAATGTAAAGAAACTATTAAAAAAATCATTACCCTATACTTTACCGATTCGAGACCCAAAGGCAAAGGAGTCAGAGTATCGTATTATTATTCGGACAGACTGGAACTGTTCATATCAGCAGAGTGCACATCATTGAATTTATTTTCTTTTTCTTGCTAACTATTAAGTTTATTAAATTTCTTCATTTTTATTTTTATTCCTCTCTTCTGAAGTTTAAAAGGATATTAGAGTAAAAATTATTTTATATTCGTTTTTCCTTAAAGACGCATATGTCCGTATGGACACACTGAGACATGAGAAATAAAAATGGGGACAAAATTGTCACAGGTAGATATTTCAGAAAAATTGTGTGATAATATAAACTATCAAAATTTCCTGTTTTGAATAAAATTCAGACACTAAAGCACAGCTAATAAAATATTTAAACCTTATTTTTAAGAAATAAGACATTGCTCTGGGACTCAGGGGACAGAGAGTCTGAATGTTGTCCCCGCACTATCAGCCTCATCACTTAGCTTCTCAGGTTCTCAGGGAGGCCTTTTGGAACAGAAGGGTGATACGGGGACTGGCTGATCTCTATCGCACCATTTCTAAGTTCTATGATTCCCTACTGCTGTCACCCTCTTTGTGTCCCTTCTGGCATCAAACCGGTCACTGACAAACAAACCCAGCAACTGCGACTCCCACCACCCATGATTGTTCTGCTGGGAAGGTAGAGAACTAATAGATCGCTCCTTTTTTTTTTTTTTTTAACACTATATTCTTAGGAATATTTTTGCTTTAAGTGAATAGTTTTCTTTGGCTTTTCCCTCCTACCTGAAGGAAGAAGAAAAAGGTCCTGTCCTGAAGATGGTCGGCTGCTGGAGCCAGGAGGCTTTGAATGCTCGATGAGACTGTGCCGTGCAGGTGGGGGAGGCGGGAGGGACGGGGGGAGGGCATCAAAAGCTTCTTCACCTGCATTTAAAGAAAAGTCCTTATCAGCAGTGCAACTTCATTAATCAAAACGCGCAGTACCAAGCAAAAGTGATGACTGACTCTCTCTTGCTGGTTATAAAGAACTTCACTTGCGGGGTTTATCCAGCAGTTCCCCATCTTTGATGATGGGATCTAGTTATCTTATGGGAGTGTCTGGAGAGAAACGTACACAGACATGCAAACACTCCAATGCAAACTCTTTCTATCTCCTAGGCCTTTGATAAAGAGAAGCACTACCGGTTATGAGGTTATGAAACAACTCATGGTTCACGTGTACCAGTTATGAAACAACTCATGCAACCTTTATGATATTAGACACTGGAAGTTTGAACAAAGATTGTTATCAGTCACACCATCAAAACACAATTTTCTGTGTAACTCGAAGAATTTGCAACTCTAACGAGAAAATCACACCATGTATATCTAATTTAATGTCACCACACAGTACAGATTATCCCATACAGTTTATTCTACTGGATTTTAATTCATTTAAATCATTTAAATGAATTTAATAATTCATTTAAATATATGGAACCAACATTCCATATATTTATTATCAAAATATATGGAGAATGCATCTAGATCAGAAAAATATGGCCTTTTTCTACTTATTTGGTATTGCTAAACAAGAACAGGTAAATACAGACCATCCTTTTGCAGTGCCCAAAGCTATTTACCTTTGCACACAAACTGTAGGATATTACAGCGTGCTTTCATGTTGACTCACTTTTATCAGTCACACTTACTATTCTACTCATATTTTTTACCTTGATTTTAATTTTTTAATTTTTTATTTTTTTTCCTCCTCCTCCTCATTCTCCTCTTTACTTTGATATTTAAAAACAAGTAAGATGTAGTGCACGTATCTTTGTAAGTTATCTCAAATGCTTTGTTGAGTAAGACAGGGAATATATAAATACCTTCATATTCTAATAATAAAAATTCATATGTATTTAAATTGAATGAAAAACATAGAGGCATATTAGAGAAAAATGGTTTTATCATTCACTGAGCTTGCTTGCCAAAAATGCAGAACATTTTCTCTCATCATTATAAATATTTTTCAAATTTAAAATATTTGAAGATTCAGGAACATAGCTATCTGCTATATTCTCATAGTTATTCAAATCCTATTTTAGCCCTAAGTATCAGGCACCTGCCAGGCTCACGTCTGATATGAAGATCAAAATTATAAAGCCCTGACTCAAGGGGTTTAGATTCCATGAGAGGAGCTGAGAAAGTTCACAAACAGGTATGAAAAACAGGCAAGAGGTTAGACTGGTCTCATAAGACAGTAAAACGTACTGGAAGACCAGGGAGAAGAATGCAGACAACCAGCATTCCTGAAGTCCTGACATCAAGGATGGGATGTGAGCAGAGAGGATAACGAACAAAGAGTGAGATGTGCCGGGCACAGCGGCTCACACCTGTAATCCCAGCTGTCTGGGAGGCCGAGGCTGGGGGATCGCCTGAGCTCACAGGTTCGAGACCAGCCTGAGCTAGAGCGAGACCTCATCTCTAAAAACAGCTGAGTGTTATGGAAGGCACCCATATCCCCAGCTACTTGGGCGGCTGAGGCAAGAGAATTGCTTGAGTTTGAGGTTGCTGAGAGCTATGACACCACAGTACTCTACCAAGGGCGACAAAGTGAGACTGTAACTCAAAAAAGAAACACCAAAAAGAATGAGACACACACAAGCAGATCTAAAGGAAGGCTGAGTTAAAAAGGTAGGCTGGAACAGGCACCTGTATCGTTCAATTAAGTAGTCACACATCTGCATATAGCTATTCAAATTTATACTGACAAAAATTCAGTTCCATAGATAACCATATGCAAGCATCCAGATCCTTTACATAACCATGGAAAGTTCCAGGTGATGAAGATCTAGGTAATAGATCAAGAACTGGTATTCAGGAGTAAGAGGGTGGGAGAAAAAGCCTGGAGCTAAGAAAGTTAGGAGGGCTTTGTAACTAATGTTGATCAGAATACAGTCCTGAACTACAAAGAAAAGAGTACAGGAGTGAAAGACAGGGCAACTGTGCAATTCTAAACACCAGTCAACAGTATTTGTGAGAAAATAAAAAGGTTCAGTCCAAGTATCTGGTAGCTTCATACCAATTCAGAACAGTTATTAACAGACCTTCATTATACATTAGTTTATGTTAGGGTTACTTGTTATTGTGAAGCCTTAAGGTGTGTGTAGATTCTGTCTTCCTATAAAAACAAGGTGAGAAACTTCCTAGTTAGAATTAATTAAATTTATAGTGACACAGCCAATTTCAACATTACATACACACTCATGTGTACCTTCACACGTGTACACACAAACACAAATCTAGATGTTTCTGCATACTGTACTTTGAAACAAACCAATTTTCTGAATGTCACAGTTGTAATGGTTAGAATAAAACAGAATTTATTCTCAGTTCTCTACATGCAAATATATAATTTTTCATAATTTAATCAGTGTAAGTGGACCTGGGTCATTTCATGCCAAAAGAAAAGTTCTCATTTATTAAGAATTATTATAGTTCAAGAAAATCTCAATTAACACTTCAAATCATCACTTCAAACTATTAGAACACAAGGGCCTTTGGGGATGAACAATGCTCTTATGTGCTTTAAGACTACATTTGATATGCAGGAGACTTGATAAATCCCTGTCTAATGGCCAGCTATTTGCACTATTACTTTAATCATCTAAATGGAGTAATGGTCCTATGCACCTGGGAGCCACCGTCACCTGGAGAACTCATTCTAATTTCTGGCAAATTCACAACCCAGTGAGTCTGCATTACACTGAACCCTGAATTCTGATAATTCTGATATTGAGAGAAGCAGCAGGGGTGGTTTGCTTAAAATTTTTTTTGAAGGTTTCAACCTAATGGAGGGATGAGGAGGTCATAATCAGAGGGCGTCCTGGTGAGTGAAGAACCATGCTTTGGACTGTCCCGAGGTGGAGGCCTGGCAGGTGGTGATGGCACGGGGTCAGAGGCTGAACCAAAAACATCTCCTGGAGGACAACACAAAACCTTAATGTATTTTCAGCACAACAAAGGGCATGGAATTTTGCCTTTAAATTCTGACCATTAAGACGCAGATCACAAAGGAGAAGGTATTCTGTACGTACCCTTTAAATATATGCCTAACTCAGGGATGTTTGACTTCTTCATCTCTGAAGATGCACCATGTGCTCCATTCAATATACAGTGGCCATTATCACAGGACCTAAAACAGAAATCAAAGGACAAAATCATATAAGGATCATTACTTTCCACTTAAAAGTCATTTGGGAGGTAAAGGAAATGGGCATCCTTGCCCGTTTAATAAATTTTGAAAATAAAGATATTTAATTTTGTTTTTCTGGGAATAATACCAGTAGCATTATTTAGATAAGCTTATCCCTCATTTTAAAAAGCAGAAGTAAATATTCCATGGAAGACTCTTCTGTTTTTTTTTCTAACTAAAACCAAGAATTACCAGGACCACAAAAATTGTTGCTATCCTAAACACATATGTGAAATTAACATATCTCTCTGGACCAGAGTTCAAGAGCACCGGGTAAGTTTTTGAAGTAACAAATATGTGCCGAGGAAAAAACCATGCAACAGTCCCAATGACTTTGTTATTTGCGGAGGGCATTTAGTATCATATTTTTTTGTTTCTGTAACTTAACTTACGCTTTCCTTATAATAGAACCCATAAAAGAAGAAAAATTATTAAACTTTCAGTAATTCCATTAAACTCTGACAGGAATATTCAAAGACACAGAGCGTCCAGGTCAAGAACAAAACTCTGGCCCTCTGACACTGTAGAAAAATGATGGTAGCAAAAGCCTTGGGTATACTGTAAGCACAGCATTTCAATCAGAGTGTGTGTAGTGGGCACTATACACTAAAAGTGTGTTGGAGTTACTGGTATGAACACTTGGGAAGCATACTATGAATACAATAAACAACACCGGGGCCTGGGAAATGGCATCAGGAGAGCAGCAGAGGATTTTGCCTGCATCACGCAGCTGCTTGAGGATTAACACACACAACTATGGAAAACAGAGTTTTCCAGAAAAGTTACCTTTTCTGCATTACACTGTATTCTTAGAGCAAAGTAAAAGTATATATATAATGGAGGAGAGATGGATATTTGAATAGATATTTGCAAGATACTTCATCTAAAATTCATTTCTATTTTCTCTGGAGGCCACTTCTCTTTAAGGGGCCAGAGATGGTTCATTTAAAAATAGTTATTATGCATTGAATCTTCATCATAATGATAGATTTCTACTGAAACTGAACTGAATTATTCATTTACTGTTTCACTTTTTCCACATATTGACAATTCACTTCTCCTAATGTTCCAAAGTGGGAGAGAAACACAGAGGGAAAGGCAGTGTCAGGCTTAAAGGATCCTTTGGAGAAGGCCTCAGAAGATACTTCAGACATTACATTCCAAGAACAAATTGGATCAAGAATTCATTCCCGTTACGTTTAGGGCTTATCGACATTTATTACTTGTCTTTAACAGCAGAAAAGATGGTAATGATGGTTATAATTCAAATTTATTTTCAGGATTTGGGAGCCCTGCCACCAAAAATCTCATCTGATATGATGTAACAATTAAAATTTAACATATTATAATTATACTCCTCAATTATCTAGCAAGGCCAAAAAATTAGATTCCCAGGGAGACCAAAAAGCTTTATCCTTTTATTCCAGTTTTTAAAAATTACTACACATTTTGTCAAAGCCAAAGGAGCTGAAAACTGTAACAATTTATACTTGATGAGACGAAATAATGTTATTCATGAATAGATCAGTAGCCACTTGGTCCTTCCGATTTATCAAACAGCCTCCCAGTGATTTCTTTGTCTTATCAATGGTACTGTTTTACCAACAAATGTCTTAAACACTAGCAATTAGCAAGAATTGTACTGGGTTTTGTTTTAAAAGAACAATGTCCTGGACTACAGACTGCTACTAATCCTGGGCGGTGATTCAGTGCTGACGAGGATCACTGAGTCAGACTTCTGGTTAAAAGGAAGATTTGCTCCTCTTTTCTGAGTACTGTATTTCTACCTCAGTGAGATACTGGAAGAAGGGCACTCATTCCTTTTTAATTTTTCATCCAGAAAGAAAAGAACACTCCACTCATAAAATGCTTTCAGTTGGACTCGACCTCAAAAGGAACTGGCACACTAAGGTGACAGAAGTGTTCCCCAGCTCTCCATCCCTCAGTTGGCCAAGGCAGACACGCTGGAACGCAAGGCCACCAGCGGTCAGCGAGCCCCAGTCAGTGCGTGCCAGGCACAGCTCTAGGCAAGTTATACACAGAACACGGAGCCTAGAAAGCAAGTTTTGAAGCAGAGATTTGATTGTTGAGTCCCTCAGATGAGTTAGGAAAAAAAGAGAAATATGATTCCAGTTTACTAATTCAATTATATAAATGCAGAATCACGCTTTTTACTTAAAGCCAAACTAAATACTTCAGTAGGAGTAATCCATTATAACTCGCAGAGCTCAGAGGGGCTTCTACTTCAGAAACCAAGGATATCCCCATGATAGTGAGGATAAACAAACAGAAAGAAAAAAACAAAAAACAAATAGACCTTACATTCGTATTTGATCCAAGGAAAGGCAAAATCATACTTGATAAAAAACAGTTAAAGAAAATAACTTAAAGTATTTTTCCCCCACTTTTTCAAGATCTGAGTGGAAGTAGGTAGGACATCAAGAAAGGAAATGAACATACATTACACTAGTCTATACATCATTAAAAACAGCATTCCAAAGGAGGCTGCCGTAATCTTTGTTTCTAAGTATTAATTTCTTATTGTTTCTTATGAGATATGTGAGATATGGGCTTAGAACTGATAAAATGCATTAAAACAGCTTCCTGAAAATCCAAATCATCATCGGTATATGTAACACACAGCAAAATTTTATTAGAGTATTTTATGAGAGGGCAACAAAATGTTTTGTTACACTTAGTAGTCAAATGGCATCCTGATTAATGGGAAATCTGCATCTTTTAATTTTCTCTGAAAGTAATGGAAAAAATGGCATCTAGGAAGAAGCTTTGAGCATACAACCAAGTATTTCTGACTAAATAAAAAGCTGTGATACGACTGCTTACAAACAAACATCACAAATGACAATGCTTATGCAGATGTAAGGTGGCAAAAGCTGTCCATACTCTTACCGAACAGGAGGTTTTACATTATGACAATGAGATGGTTGTGAATTCAGGGAAACAGGATGGGATGAAGGAATCTTGTATTCATCATCGTCTTCCTCTACTGGGTCTCTTGTTTTCTCTGAAAGAGAATTTGCTAATGGACCAGTACACCTATCAGGGGAAAAAAATCCAATCTACTTTTAGCATAATATTCAGAACAGGCAAGTCTAATTTAACATATTCAAATCAAAGAAGCCACTTCATAGCTTCTGGTCATTTTTCAATTACAAGATAATATCAGAGGAGCCATTTTTTACACTAAATACAAATGAAAAGGATATTTGATCTTTTGTTGAGACTCTTGATTAGATAACAGAATTTTCATCCTTGTGATATTAAATGGCACAAAATAAGAAAAACTAGTAATGTGTCAAATAAAATTAAAAGGTTTGGGAGTTTTAAGACAAAATGCATAAAATTATTCAAACCAAAGCTGTTAAAATACCAAAATTTTATTTTAACTTAAATAGATGAAAGTGTTAAAAACATGTGTATAGTAGTTTTATAAATTAATGAAATCTTTACAGAAGGACTGTTGTGAACACAATTTATAGTTGAAAAATATTCACTTTTCAATAATACTTAACTGTCATGTAAAAATATAATTCATGTTGTTAGACTTTTTTTCCCAATAAGTAATAAGAACTAAAAGTGAATAGGATAATTAGAAGTAGAAAATGAGAAAACTTTATGGTACATCTTTATGTACATTATTCTTAAGGCATAAATTACTCACTAAATCAAAGAAAACTGAAATGAGTAACAACTATCATTTTATATAAAAAATTTAAGCATTTTTCAACCATCAGGGCAAATAAAACACAGTAATGAACCCCAACAAACAGGCACAGAAAAACCTACTGTTTTTCACTGTTGTTGCTACAGTCTTAAACCTTTGTTGATGTCAAAGAAAAATGCCAAAGTAGAAATTCAAAAACCCCATCTGACCAAATTTAGGACGACTCACTACTTTTCGAGACACTGGAAATACGTATTGATCCAAATTGTTCTGTTAATCATCGTGACGCTCACGAGGAATAAATTTCATTAAAAAACAAACAAAAAAAAAAAATGTAAAGTGGCTGCAATTTTGAAGCACCTTCTGTAGAGGGAGCAAGAGGCCTTTGGTACATGAAGCCATCAGACCTGAAATAACGTTCATTTTGATTTCTTCTTGTTAGAACAGAAACCATTTGTAGGGGCTTTTCTTTATGCCCATCCCAAGATGACATTTTGAAAAACCAAAAGGTTTTCAAGTTTCCACGATAGTATCTAAGTTTCTAGGAAGTTGAGAGATCAAAAGAAAATTTCTTCTAAGATTTTTCAAAAGTATGCTTTTACCCATCTTCAAAGAATTTTTCAATACTAATATTTAAATTCTTGTTTATGTGCCCAACCTTCAAATTCACATGGCAGTTTATGGACTGATGAAAGTACAGTGATGCTGTAAGTTAAGATCTGATATCACTGCCCTGGGCACCAGCTAAGAACCTTATTAATGACTAAGGGTTATTTACACCCACTATGATTTATTTCTGGAAGATGTACTTTCTAATAAAAGACAGGTAAGTATATGAGCTGCAAAATGGTGATTTGATGGTATTGGAGCAGGAACTTAAAACATTACTTTCCCATAAATTCTTGTAAATATTGACATCAATTTAGCTAACCCAAGGACCAGAATGGGTTCTATTCTCAAATGAAATGAGAAATATATGCTATACATCCTTTCTATGCCCTATTATAGTTTCATTCATAATAAATAGCTTTTTCCATGTAACTCAAACATATACTTTTATAAAAGAAAAAAGACATTTTTGATGAAATATTCAACAGCCACATCAATGTCAGGAAGGTTCTAAGAGCTGCCTGTTGTAGGTTGTTTCCAAAGGTTTATGTTTCCAAAGAAGCACTTCATTATCAGTCAAAAATGGAAAGTTTTTGAAATCCCATCTGTTGTGGCTAATTCTATGTTTTACCTTCAATGATAGAGAAAGTAGCATAGATTGTTAGCTTAAATATGTTTTAGTTACAGATACAGAAGACAATAAAAGTTTTTAAGTGGTGCTTTGTATCTAAATGTGAAAGAAGATATTTAGATGTCCTTTATCATCATTTTATTGAAGTTCTAAAGATTCAGGTTTTATTTTTATGTTTCTAATGTAAACCTCCTGATCACTATTTATGTTCTCTTAAAAATAAACCAATTTATAATATTTCAATGCATCCTATTCAATATTACAAATTTTTATGAAAAATTCATCTTACCCAGTCTGTAAAGAAAAATAAACAGTTTCTACCACAAAAAGAAAAAATGGAAGGAGGTCTAAATATGATGATCGAAAATAGCAAAAGACAAATCTGAAGTCATGTAAATAATTACACTCTTTCATAATTGTACATGGGATTTTTTTCTCTCTACAAACTTATTTAAAATCAGATAATTATCATTATCTATTCATGTATACATTACTTTTGGCAGTACAGGAAAAAATGTCAATTCACGGAACGTGAGACAATTTTAGTCATTGCTTTAGCTTATGGGAAATTTTTAGGATACCAGAGGAATGAGGTAGAACAAATCAGATTTGGCTGGTTCCAAGTTAAAGCTGCCAAGTAAACCATGCTACCGAGCACACCCACTGCCGCATCCCTTTACGTAACCATCCTCCACTCACAGAGGGTTCTGCACTGTGGCTGTCACTCCTCAGTTAACGCAATGGTAGTGCACAGGGACGCACACGCTCAGAGATGCCACCTTCTCCCAACCTGCATACCTTGTTTCTTGAACTAGTTCCCTGGTTCCCTTCACCAGTTACTTGAACCTTCAGCGAGAAATACATTCATTTTATTATCTATGTGCACGCCTGAGACAACCCGGGAAACAGGTGCACTGTCATGCCAGCACAGGTGGATGTTTTGCAATGCTATGTTTAATGAGTGACTTTTATATCTTGGAACTCACAAATGCCTTCCCTTTAGAGCATTCTGCAGTCCTGGTGTGAAAGGCTTATCATCAGAAGGGCGATCTTCTAAATATCCCATTAGCTTTAACCCTTATAAACTGTACCTAAGACATCACCCTTGCCAAGCACTGTTCTTTCCTTCATTTGAACAATTTCTGATATGATACCTTTATTATGCTGTGAACTTTCCAGGGGCGGGGGGCAGGGTGGGAAGCAAAGTAAAGCTATCCATCTTCATTGTCTACCTATGAAATTCATGTGACATTGTGCCACAATTTAGTAGTTTCAGTCTTTTCTGTTATGAAAACTTCACACATACTCCTTCACTGAGGCTGTGCTTTCCACAGATTCACCTGTATCCTTCTTCTATTTGTCATACACTGGAAAATGTTTAAGGGTTGGCCTTAAGACAACCACGGCCTGGCCCGGTACATGTGTAGTTGAGCACTTCCAAGCTTTAAACAACAACGTGTGGTTATTACAGAAATAAATGACCAGGCTCAGAAGGGAGTGAAAACAATCATTTGTAGGGTCCTTTCATACCTGTAATCTAGAAAAGCATTTTCAATGGGATACATCATTTTGCTTGTTTTTCACATATAAGCATAATGTGGAATTATGCTCTTCACTTAATAATATCTGAAGGCAATGTTACAAAACCTATCTCATTAAAATACAATTATTACAGCTTGCCAGGTATATTTTTCCATTTTTTCTGGTTTTATATCATACTATCCTAATTCTAACAGGAAAAATGTCTAACTCAAAGAAATCATAGGCCAGGGAAGAAATCATTTGAAATGATTATGGCATGAGTGCCACAAATAAATCATTTCCCTAAAATATTACAGTGAGTTTTACAATACACATGCTAGTTGTGAAGGGTGTCTCATGACATTAAAAGGCATATGACTAAGGTACAGTCCTTCAGGGGTACTGCTGAGCCCTAAGACAAGCTTTAATTTGTTTGTAAATGTGAGAAACCTCTTTGCAGCTGTTTTGCACCGTGACCTGTCCAGCTTCCACGTTCTTCACACGGATAACCATGTGGCTCACTCCTTTACTTTTTCAGGTCTCTGTTCAATTATTATCCTTTCAGAAAGGTCTTTCCTAATGACCGCATCTAAAGTATAAATCTATCATTATTCGTTCCCTTCTCTGGTTATTTTTCCGCCTAGCACGTACCACTAGCTGACCATTTATAATACAATTATTTGTTTATTTTTTGCCTTCCCTAAGTAGAGAATAAATTCCAAAGAGGAAAGAGATTTTATCTTGTTCACAGTGAACCTCCAGTTAGTATAGCAAGTGGATGAAAATCAGACAGATAGATGATATTCTGACTCTCAATTCATTACCCCTAAAACATAAGCCCCTTATCTAGTTAGAAAAATGTATAATAATAATCAAAAATACCATCTCTAACAACAACAAAAACTTTCTGACAAAAATATACACCAAGTAATATTGGTTCATAGACATTTGAAAGTCAAAGATTTTTTTTTTTTTTTTTTGAGACTGAGTCTCACTATGTTGCCCTCAGTAGAGTGCCATCGTGTCACAACTCACAGCAACCTCCAACTCTTGGGCTTAAGTGATTCTCTTGCCTCAGCCTCCCAAGTAGCTGGAACTACAGGCACCCACCACAATGCCCAGCTATTTTTTGGCTGCAGTTGTTATTATTGTTTAGCTGGCCCAGGCTAGATTTGAACCTACCAGCCTTGGTGCATAATTACTGTGCTCCAGGCACCAAGCCAAAAGTCAAAGATTTTTATGTCAAAAGTACAAAAGGTCTAATTCTAGAAGACAAACCACAAGAAAATCAAAAAAATATTCTTCTAAAAATAAGCATTTCTCAGCATTCCAGAACATTATCACCTGAAAACAATTATTCCATTATTACTTATATGAAGATGACTCTGTTTATTTGCCAACATACTGTGTCAAGTAAAATTAGTATTTTCTCAACTGGCTAGTGTTTCATTTGGTTTAATTTTAAAAAATCAAATTATTTCAAAGTTAATATAATTTAGTAAAGAAATAATTTTGACTATTAAGGAATATTTTATTATACCTCTAAAATGATAATTGCCTGTATTTTAAGCATAAAAATTTTATGCACAAAATTTTATTTTTATAGCTAAGTTCAAAAGATATTAAATAGAAATAATTTAGAAAAGATATTATTTTAGAAAAATTAAGTATATCCAAACAAATAATTACAATTAGAACAGTATGCTTTTTAGAAATAAATGCTACACCTTTTAGGTCTGAAGATAATTTATTTGTTTTTTGGGGGGGGCATTTTTTGGCTGGGACTGGGTTTGAACTTGCCACCCTGGTACATGGGGCCAGCACCCCACTCCTTGAGCCACACGTGCAACCAGGTCTCAAGATAATTTACACAGTAAAAGTCACATAGGAAGAAAGTATTATTACTGAGTAACCTCTAACATAATGTAAATGGGTATCAGAGCAGAATATCATGCTTAACAATTACACTTCAATAAATATCTATACCAACACAGCATAGATTTTTTTTTTTTATCAAATCATAGCTGTGTACATTAAGGCAATCAAGGGGTACAGTGTGGTGTTTTCATATGTAATTTGAAATATTTTCATCAAACTGGTTAACACAGCCTTCATGTCCATCTTCTTAGTTATTGTGTTAAGACAATTTATATTCTACTTTTAGAAAGAATCACTTGTACCCTTGTAAGATAAACCATAGAGGTGATCCCACCATTCATCCTCAGATTTAAAAGTAAATTGCTAGCTTTGACATATTTTATTTAACACTGGTGAGAACTACAGAAGTTTACATTAGGTAGCAAATTCAATTTTGCTTCAGTCAGGTTTTAAAACATACACTAAGAGTCTCACGTGGAAATGGACTCTTGAATGCTCAACACCCTAATTCAATGAGTGACATTTTCCTAAGGTGACCATTCCATGACTCTCCAGAGCCAGGAGTGTACACTCATTGTACTCTAACTATACACTTATGAATGAGGCCAACTTGGCCATTCACCATCATCATCAACCTGCGTAGTAACCCAAATGATTTCAGATGCAATCACCTGACTATAGATAAAATTCAAGTTGCCAAAATTTCATACATAATTAATGCCATCCATAACCCATAAAAAACCTAAAAATTTGAAGCTCAAAGGGTTTTAGAGATCATTTAAGTTTAACTGATCCTCTCAATAATCAGAGAGAAAAAATGGGGCCCAGATGTTGGAGTCATGTTTGAAACCCAGTCTAATTTTATTCTATCATTCACATCAGAGTTCTGTGGTCAGTCAACATATAAATGACTAAGAAAAATGCTTATAATAGTATGAAGTCACAAAATAATCTCTACTTATAAAGTCTGCATAAAAAAATCAAAAAGGGATAATTATACATTGATATTTAGGGGATATGTATGTCTACATTTATGTAATTACTTTTCCTTTGTATTTTGCATAATTTCTGTAATAAACAACTGTTAACTAGGGGATCAGAAACAAAAATAACTGGGAGAGGAAAAATTCACCATTAAAAGCTAACACTTGCATTGTTACCTGTGGCTAATCTCCAGCATGCAAAATAGAAAGCTAGTTTACTGTTGAACATGTAATGTTAAAATATTTCCCTAGCTAAGTAACTGGGGAAAATCAAGAGTAAATGGGGAGAAAAAATAATGCAACCACAGGGCCAATGTTAGATGCGTTTACAAATTGAAGTATTAGATATATCAACAAAATACATTTCAGTATAAATTTGTTACTCTTTCTTTACAGAAGCAGGTACTTTAGGTTTAAATACAAATGAAGCAAAGCACAACCTCCACCTCTCATCCTACTTGCCAATATGTTATTAATAAAGAAAACATAAAAATGTAATCTCTAATTACCAAGATTTCATTTACTTCACTTTCTAATGCTCTCTGAAATATCAGAGGTAATTGAGCTTCGATGTTTTACTACACACACATAAATCCAGAGTTCATTCAGGGCCAGAAATCATCATGTTGTCACTGATTTAAGGCCTACTACATAGAAACGTGTAACTGCTCCCGACTCCTTTGTCTGCTAAGTATCTGGCAGTGCAAAGAAAAGTTCCTTTTGGAAATGGTCCAATTAGCTGAGTTTCCCACTGCCCCCTGAACAAAGTCAAATTTAACACCCTGGTTTTTTCTCATGCACTTGTCCAATTAAGTCCATCCTCCCTATGAAATAACCTTGTCTCTGACAAGCTTCTCCTTCAAACTCATTCAACACTAACAATTTGTCATTGTAAATTTAGTGCACAGTGTTCGCTAGTGATTTCATATGTGTTAGTTTTATTTGCTAAATTAGACTGTACATTTCTTGGGGGCTGGGAATTAGCTTATCTTTCCGTTGCATTCATGTACATAGTGGGAATCCAATGATCTGCACACAGAGGAATGAAGAAATTCTAAGACTTTCAACTGGAAATGAAGACCTCAGCAGATAAAACCAAAACAAGCGACCAAGTATTTTCCACGTACTTACTATATATATGAAATACGGTAAGGTGTTATGGAGAACCCTAGAATACAGGTAAGGATTTGCCCTCAAAACCTTATGCATTATTTAATTGGGAGAGCCACATTAAAATTAGAAAATAGTATGATAGAGCATATAATTAAATGTGCAGAAAATAAATGGCAGGCAGAGGAATGCAAATCAGTCTTAATCATTACACCTGAAGAAGTCACAGACTTCACAAAGAAATACAGCCTAACACAGACCTTTAGGATAAATGGTCTGAAAAGGTGGAATGTCAGAAAGCACAGAATAAAAAAATCTCACAAACCCAGAAAAAAAAATCCAAATAGGATTAGAGGGCAGCCGTTAGGAATCACTGAAAAATATTTTACATGTGTAAATTCTGTAGGATCTTAGCTAGTGGAAGAGTACTGAGATAATTTAGTTGAAAAAAGGGTATTTTGAGTGGGAAAGTGACCTGGGAAAGACAGAATTTAAATTCAAAGAATTCAGCTGCAGTGAATGAAACATCCTGGAGGGAAGGGAGGGAGCCTGACTTCATATACAGGGCAGACAGAGGTTTCCTCTGGTTTAACTTGGGTCGAGATCACTTTACTGTCCAGTGTTAAGTGTATACTCATTTTTCAAATGCAACACCTAGGCTTATCATATCTTTCTAGCTTTAAATCCATTGATACTAAATCTGAAATCATATCAGATAAGAGGCTATTTTAGTGGTCTAGCTCTGAGGCAAACTTAGGGAAAGTTAGCTGAATGTAAAACTCGAGAGCAACAATCAATAGAACTTAGTGCTTGAATAGATCTGAGAAATAAAAAAATTGGAGGAACCAAAGATTATTGTATGCTGTCAAACTGGGTAGTGAGATGAACAATGTAATACTTCTGTGGAGGAAAGGTAAATTGGATGAGAGAGCTCACTGTGCTTCTCCATCATCCTCTTCTTCGATGGAAGGGACACTTAGCTTCCTCGCCCCGTACTTCTATATGTAACCGCAAGAGTTTAGGTAAGTCTCATAGAAGCTGTGGTCACAAGCAAAAAAGCAGAAAACATCTTTATTTCTGGTACTTTATAAATCCAGCTGGATTGTTTTTAGTGATGCCTTTCTACTCATCCTGCTTCTGTCCTGAGAACCTCAAAACCACTCCATACCAAATCTTTCTGCATGGATAAGAGCTTTCCAAATTGAACAAAACTCACTTTATGCTAGGGAGAAGGGTGGTAACCGGAGGAGGAGGAGATAGCCGGGGAGGAACATCATATTCTTCACTTCCAAGGTGACCATTGGAAAAGACCTGAAAACAAACGAAATGTTTAGTTTCCAAGAATTTAACTTTTGGAGGACCTTAAAACAACAGTAGCTCAAAAAACTTAAGATTTTTAAGAGACTAAATAAATATTACACGATTTATGTAGGGGTCATTAGCTCCACAGTGATTATGATTCATTACCACCCAAAGTAGTACCAGGGTATAGGGAAAAGAAAAATTGATACAACATGACTCTTAATTTGGGAGTAATACTATCATCTGTATAAATCAGATACAGATTAGGAAG